CACACACACACACACACACACACACATCTACTTGCTTATCACACGCGCACACTTACATATCGTTACGAAAAGAGCACAGATACATACATCATAGAACAATGTTATACACAATGCAATCACAAAATACTTAAATGGATATATAGTCATTTACATAACATTTTACTGAACATATCTATCATCGTTGTCTCTCCTATTTTTCTTTGTTTGTTTCTCTCTAGTAACACTTGGGTGGTTGGCTGGTGCTCTGAATACAGATGTGGTTAGCTCCTTTCCTATCAAACATCCAACGTCCATTCATACCTTCTCCATGTCTGTATTGTTTTCTTCCCTGCCCTAAATAACCGTTTTTGTGTCGATGTGTTCTTCTCTGCTTTGTCACTTTAAACGAATCTTCCCCTTCGGCCCATCGGTCCTATTGGAGAGCAATTGGTTGTCGGGTATTCTGATGTGATTAAATTTTGCTCTTTCTTTTCTATCAAGCATATATCATCCTTATCTCTCCACCTTTTGTTAATTAATAATTTTTGTATGCTACTCTCTGGTGACTCCTAATCTTCGCCACTTATTGAAAATGCTGTAAACCTTATTTAAACTTTTTTTTTTAAAGTGGAAAAAAAAAAAGCTGTCAGAGTTGGACGTTAAATTTGGGAGTTCAGAATGGGTGGTTAGATGTCACCACTGGTAGGTCTTATACTTTTTTTCTTTTCCTGTTTTGATTCTGTCTGTCTGTCTGTCTGTTTGTCTTACTCTTTCCTTGCACTAAATGACAGTTATTGTCCCGATGTTGTTCGCTTTACTCAAACAAACAAACAAACAAACTGACGTTTGACGTCCAGTTTCTTTGAAAAAACTTGCAGTGTTGCCAGAAACGTTAAAGCTATACAATTTCATTTCACTGAGTGTTTCTGTGAATAGATTCGTTTCCATGGAAACGGGTTAGGCTAGCAATAATGATGATACAATACGCTGATCTGACAGAAAACTGGTGGTTTTTCCCCCGGGGGCAGACAGGGGGATGGG